TATTTTATGGAGAGGATTGTGTTTAGGAAAGCAATCATCAATTGCTTGGAGGAATTTGTGTCCGATATTCGTTTCGACATTGGAGTTGTAAGGTGGATTAAACCATATAACGTTTCTTTCTCTAGTGCGTTTTGTCTTTGTTTGCTGGGGATTGTATTTTAACTTGTAGTTATAACCACTCTTTTTTAAAGGCAATCCCTGATGCAATTAACAATCGATTGTCCAATATATCGTCTGACGAACAAGCATTTGATTCAGCTTGTCCTCCATACCAAGATGCCTTAGATAAGAGTGGTTATAACTACAAGTTAAAATACAATCCCCAGCAAACAAAGACAAAACGCACTAGAGAAAGAAACGTTATATGGTTTAATCCACCTTACAACTCCAATGTCGAAACGAATATCGGACACAAATTCCTCCAAGCAATTGATGATTGCTTTCCTAAACACAATCCTCTCCATAAAATATTCAACAGAAATACCTTGAAACTAAGTTACAGTTGCATGCCCAATGTCCAAAATATAATTTCTGGGCACAATAAATCTATAGTAAATAAGTTCACCTCTACAGATGCGTCAACATACAGCACGAAACCAAGTCAATGCAATTGCAGGAATAAGTCCTCATGTCCACTGCCCGGTAAATGTCTAACATCCAGCGTAGTATACCAAGCAACGGTTATTAGGAACGATACGAATCAAAAGGAATCTTATGTCGGACATACAGAAGGGAAGTTCAAAACAAGATATAATTGCCACACTAGTTCATTTAGATTAAGCAAGTATAGAAATGCGACAGAACTGAGCAAATACATCTGGCAACTTAAAGAGTCAAAGGTTAAGTACTCTATAGACTGGCGTATTATTAAACAATGCAAGAGCTATAACAACACAACAAAACGCTGCAGCCTTTGTACACATGAAAAATTTATCATAATTTACCACCCTGAACTTTGTTCTTTAAATTCAAGAAGTGAACTGTTATCGAAATGCAGGCATAGAAACAAATTCCTCTTAAGCAATATAATTACTTGATATAATCTGTATATATTTATATGTAATTTAACACTAGAGCTTTCCGTTTACGTCAAACATGTATATAGTATATATAACCTTGGCAACAACATAGCGCGACATTTAAATTCACCTGATGAGTGTGGCAAGCGTTGCTTGTCATACGAAACAAGTTTGTAGTGAATAAAATCTTATGAAGTAAACCAAGTTTATTTTATTTTATCTTTATACTAGCTCTATAGTTTGGTATATCGAGCACTCTACTCATATATGATTCTAAATACATATTTGATATATTAGAACATATATATATTAGAACATGTATTTTTTTCCCTTAATGCTTAGGTTGTGACAGTATGAGCTCTTTTCACGGAATGGAGAAAAAACTGCGTGGAAAGCATTGGCTTGGAAAAACATTGTGAATGAGCTGAACAAATTCACATGTTTATTGTATGGAGACAAAGCCTCAACAAGTGTGGATGATTCTAGATATGCTCTTTTTAAGGCAGGAAAATGTTCCGATGACATCTTGCCTTCAACTTGCGATAGCCTTGTCCAACATATATATAGAGCAAATTTTGAAGCAGCATCATGGTATCAGTGTTTAAGTGCAGAAGTCGATCTTCCATCACCTGCTGGCAATGGCTGGACGCTTGATGATAAACAGCTGGAGATAACTTGGATGACATGCACACCTGCTCTGCGATTTTTAATTGAGTGTGTTGAGTGTAAATGCAAGACTGGGTGCTCGACTATGCGTTGTACCTGCAAAAAGGCTGACTTAAAGTGCACAACCTATGTTCCTGTGGTGATTGCCAGAATGCAGTTGTTGAAAATGGTAATGACGATGATAGCAGTTATGGCCTGGCTCAATCTGATGAAGATGATGAACTGGATCTGGATTTTGGAGATGACGAAGATGATGAGTTGTGAATTAGCTGTCCAATTGAAAGAGTTAAGTTCAACATTTTATTTGTGTCTTAAACTTTTAAGGTGCTCATAATTCTCCCACAATTAGCGAATTGATAGCAGGCAAGGGTCACATAATCTCGCTAGAAATATCAAAGATTTTAGTGTTAAATGTACATATAGATAGATAAGATATGCAGTATGTTGTTTTCTGTTTACATGTTTTAACTAGCAAATTAGTTTATTATAAAGGAGAGGAGTAACATCAGTGTATAGGGTTAGTAAGGCTGTAGGATAATGCATGCCTTCTTTCCTTATTTGTAAAATTCCAGGCCTTGTTGTCTACCAAGTTTGTGTTTTCTTTTCAGGTCAAAGAAAGAAAAATCATCACAATGGAAGAGTTACCAAAATTCAATTACAAGAAGAAAGAGAAGTGCTGGCTTTTCACCTCCAAAAGCATTGCTGTAGCATGGGAGAGAGAACACATTCCAGATTTTTCCCGAGGGGTTTTTCATAGTTATAGTTAATATAAAACAATGGTTATGCTGAAAAAGGATTGTGTAGTAACTATTTTGTATAACTTGAGTGGAAACAAAACGCTTGTTGATGATTTTCATGTGTGCAAATAAAGTTGTCCTAATTTATTTGTAAATTCCAAATTGCAAATTGTTGAATGCTTTTCCGTTTAATTGTTGTTTAAGTCTTCTCTGACTAATTTAGTTTTAAAAAACTACGCCACTCAAAGCTTCCTTGTTGAAGCCTGCTTGCATAGCAAACATGCTGGAAACTTCATTTAAATACCGGTATAAAACTGCTGAATCTGCTATATATGTCGTATATTAAACCAAGTATCCTGAACATTTTCTGAATCACAATGGCGTTGAGTTATTGCAAAACATGTAAATTCACTGATTTTTCGAAGATGAAATGCTTGAAAACTGCAGGTTTGTGAAAGTGAAAACAAGCGTATTTAGACATTCTGTAATTTATCCTAATTTTCTATCATGTTTTTAAGTAGTGCCCGAAGGGGGGCAACGAAACTGAACGATAATCGGCTACAGAATACAGCCTGGGAGTATTATCTTGCATATTTATCATAGATTAATTATGGATGTATCTATACTCAGTGGCATAGCTAGGGTCTTAATTTTTGGGGCAAGGGCAAAGTACTTTTCGAAAAGGACGTTTCTTCACTTGGTAAGATGCTTTGCAAGAGAACTGACAAACAAATTGCACAAGCAGCATGGCAATATAAGAAATTACAACAACATTTCAGTGAGGAAGTTAGACTGATAGTCTTTTGTGACTAAAATAAAGAAAATCCTGTAGCAGTATTTTAGTATTCACAACTGTATGCATACCATGTCACATGAATAGTGCATCCATAGTTAATATAAGGGGAGGGTTTGGAAGGCCGGTAAACTTCAAAGGACCAAACCCCCTTTTATAAGCTCAACTTCATAGAGGGCATCACATGACAATTATAGTGCACTTGAAGAGCACTTGAAGGGGAATGAAATATGAAATTAAGACAATGATACCTATTTTATACATATATTATTTGTAAGCTAAGATATTTACCTAATGTATATTTGTTCTTAAGACGCATTGTCTCTAGGTTGAAGAAAAGAAACAGTTTCCTTGCGATTTCTGCGAGAAAGTGTGCAAATCCAAAGGTGGCCTAACAAGACCCCAACGCAGTAAACATGTAGCAGAATTGGGCGAGGGATCCTCTAGGCAATCAGATCAAACATTGATATCAGAAGATATCAATGCAAGCAAGTTGTTTGTTACTTTTGCCAATCAACTGTTGATGAAATTTAAAATGAAGAGTAATCAGGACAAATTGTTAAAAGAGTTTTATGGAAGTACGAATTCAAACTGCAGAGAATATTTTCACCTATGTGACAATAAAAAAGTTGTTTTTTTAATGCATATTCCAGAACGCCTGATTGGGTTACTAAAGGAAAGGCAAGATAACCAGGGACTATCTGACTCTAAGGTATGGTTATTTAATTTATAGTTACCAAGACATCTACATTTGACTATGCTGTATATACAAACCTTAACTCAATTTTGCCCTGTCATCATTTCAAGCAGGTATTTACTCGTAACCAACTAACCAATTTTAATCAAAGATTCTCATCTGGATTTTAGGATGAATTGACTTTATCACCTCAGGAGTATGGACCACTAGCATATTTAGCTGGCTATGTGATAAGATCTTTGTATCAGAAAAGTAAGAACTGCTCTAGAAGCAAATCTCCCCGATACAAAGAAATTCAAGCCCTGATGTCCTCAATGCGATTAGAAACAAATGGCAATGAATATGTTTTGTCATTGTCAAGAGGTGGACTTAGATCACCACATTCATGGGTAATAAACATTGCAGAGGTGTCAGAGTTAATATTTAGAAAATAAACATAAAAAAACAAATGCACTTGTTCACCAAGTTGATGTAATTGTTAATGAAGTGATAAATTCTCCTCTCATGATAAATATGTGGTGCAACATTGTTCAAAATTGTGATATTGAAACTTCAAAGGAATGTCAAACTTTATGTTTAGAGAATGTAGTTAAATTATATGTAACTGTAAGGTGTTTTTCCTTTGCTAAGTATATTGTAAATAAATATAAGCTAAGTCAGGGTACACAGAAAAAGAAAGCTTTGCAAAAAGACATTAAGATTGCCAGAGAAGAATGTAAATAGTCATGGAGTATGTAAAAAAAATTATGTACTGTAAACATAAATGTAAATATAATAATGTACTGTATTGTCACTGAATTGTCTTGATAATTTTATATAATAATAATATATCACAACATCCAATAGCCTGCGTGCAGCCCGACTTTCTACCCCTGCAAAGTGGGTCTGCGAATCAGTGCGCGATATCGTGTTCTCGCGCCCGTTGAATTGCATGCATTTCTGTACTCATCCATGATTGGCTCTGCGCATTTCAAATATAATCTTTCTCACGATTGGCTGAATTAACCAATGCCCAAATAAATTTAGTAAATGATTCCGAATAATCCAAATAATTATATTAGACATTGTTTACGCCGAAATTCAACAATATGGCTGACGAAAACGAACAACTGTGGAAAATGGCTTTGGAAGAAGCTAAAACGCAATTTGAGATAGACAATTTTATGGAGGAACAAAAGGAAGCAATAAAAGCCTTCTTTCAGAATAAAAATGTGCTTGTTAATTTACCAACTGGCTTCGGGAAGTCGCTAATTTATCAGTGCCTAACTATTGTCGGCGATGTCCTACACAAAAAGCCTCGTGGTTCGAGTGTTATTGTGGTAATTTCACCTTTGCGATCGTTGATGAATGATCAGGTAGCTTACTTGCAGAGTGTGGGAGTTCCTGCTATAGCAATTACGGATGAAGAAGATCCTGAAACTGTCGAACAGGTTATGAACGGTATCTACATAGTTATTTATGGTTCCCCTGAATGCCTGTTATCTATGTCAACATGGAGAGGAATATTTCAGTGCGAAAGCTTCAGAAAGATGTTGATTGGTGTGGCTATTGATGAGGCTCATTGCATAGTTCAGTGGTAAGCTACACTCTGATTTTGTGGTGATTAAATGTCTGTTAGAATAGCTTGTTAAAATAATTCGTTGCCTGTAATGAGCAATATATGTACCTATATTTCTTTCAATCAGGGGTCTCTCTGTCGCCAATGATGTACCGTTTAGAAAATGGTATGGCTGTCTAGGTGAATTACGATCCCTCTTTCCAAAAGACTGCTGCATGGTCATCCTCACAGCCACAGCAACCAAGGCAACAAAAGAGCAAATACTCACCACCTTACACTTGACCATGGAAGATATACATTTGGTAGAGCATAGCCCAGATCCACCAAATATCCAATACAATGTCCAATATTTGGAGAAAAGTGATGGTATGGAAATGGCATTTCAATCCCTTGTTGAACATATAAAACAACATGGTGTAAAAACTCCCCGTTGCCTGATTTACTGCCAAACACGTAAACAATGTTCTGTGATATATCGCATTTTTGTTGTACTTTTGGGCAAGCAACTATTTAATGGAGAATGTTTGCCACAAAACAGACTAGTTGATATGTACCATGCAGGAACTCCCCCAAAAGTGAAAGACCATATTACCAAGAGCATGGCTGATGACGAAGGGCATCTACGCATTCTTATTTGCACTATTGCATTTGGCATGGGTGTCAACTGTAAGAAAGTGAGAAATGTAGTACATTTTGGCCCTTCGAAAAGTCTTGAATCCTATGTGCAAGAATGTGGCCGTGCAGGGAGAGATGGACTACCAAGCTCATGCTGCCTTTTCTATAATGGCTTACTTCTGGCTCGATGTGGCAGTGACATGAAGATGTATGTACAGAGCAAAGACTGTCGCCGCAAAGTACTGATGGACAATTTTGGCCATCAGCACGATAATTCAAGTGAAGTTGCACACACATGTTGTGACATTTGTGCCGAGAAATGTGCATGCCAACAGGATGACTGCACGGTATGGAGTCCACATGGAGATGATGAGGAAATGCATGATACTCCAAATGAAATTCAAAGGCCAGTATCAAAAGAGCAAATGAGACAGTTGCATACAGAATTAGTTAAACTGAAACAGAAGATTATTAATCAAGTTTGCACACAAACTATGGTTTCTTGCCCCAACAACTTGCTGGAATTTAATAATTTCCATATTAAGCAAGTGCTTGAAAAATGCCACAAACTCTTCTCTTTTTCTGACATAATCAGAGAAGTTGAAATATGGACATACACTTATGCTACTGATATCCTGAAGATAATTGATGGTGTATTCCATGACATTGATCTTGATGAACTAAGAAATCTAAATTTTAGTGAGTGTCTTGATGATAGTACATCAAGTTCAAACTGGGAAGATGTTCGTAATGATTCATCATTTTTACCTTTTTTGGACAGCCAGGAACTGAACTCTGTCTCGTCCTTTGCTGAAAGCAATGAGGAATCTTTGAATGTAAGCATAGGCATTTGAAAGAATATCAGTATGATTTATAATATTTGCTGTATTATTAAATTGTTTTACTAATTTATACCACTAACAATGTTATGTACATTAAGGTCAAAGTTAAAAATTATATTCACATTCAGTAGGTGCATAATGTTTGACAACTCAAACAAAACAACATTTAATATTATAATCGGATTGAAACCTGTCAAATTCTCTTAATGTTTCGCAGAAGAATATACAATGTTTTTATCTGCAACCATTCTCAATTTTCTAACGAGCATTTCTATTTAAAATCATGTATTTCTTGTGTTCATCAATCCAAAGAAATGTTTTGTGTAGATTAAAACCATTTAAAATGCTTGGCTTCATATTTTTGTAAAAGGAGTATTTTCTGCCAGGAGTATGAGAAAATGCTTGGTGATCAACCAACTCCTTAACCACTTTTGCAAGATCTCCCATGGTTGATTTCTTGACATGCTTACCTGATCTTCGGTAAACATCTAAGTTTGTGTCAAATACAGTCATCAGGTCAGTTGTCACTCCCAATGAATGACCTATTCGATCCAATGATTTCTGGTTAGCACTAGGGCCAAGATTCTTGATAGCTTGCTTGATTGTTTTGTTCTTAAACTCTAAATCCAAGTCAAGAGGGATGTTGGCAGATTTACCTGGCTTGTTCTTGACAGACCGGTTCCAAATTAGGCGGTGGGATTCACGTGGACTTAGTAAGGCATTGGTTTGAAACATCAAATATAGCGCTTCGAGAGCATACTTGTTAGAAGATGTTCCCTGATGTTTAAGGTACATCAGGAAAAACTTCCAGCATCTGAGAATACGTTCCCCATCTCCCTCATGTATTGCATCCCAGAAATTGAGAAGAAGCATCCCGTAATCAAGCAATGCTTTCTGGTAGGCATACATATCATCTCTGTCCTTTTCCTCAATTTTGAAATCACAAACTAGATCGGATACATCAAGATCGTCAACTTTGGGGGGAGGGTTGTGCTGCGACTCATGATCCCTTCTCCGTTTTCCATCATGTGCAAATGTTTTAGGGCAACCTTTATATCGGCAAGGATACCGTTCCTGGGCACCGGCTGAATGTTTCTTGGCTTGTGTGTATTCCTGGATGACTTGCACTGAATTTAATACCTTGTCATTTCTCTTTCGGTCAATGACAAACTTATCAACAACAAGGGTGGCTGTTTTTCTTAAGAATGTTTTTTTCTCCTCTTTTGTGGACATCTTGTTGATTGGCAAGTTGATTCCCTCATCATCCAGTTGTTCTATTTCAAGAACTGACATAGTGCCTGCAATAATTCTTGCTTCTATCTCGATCGTAAAGAATCTCCGGCATGCATTGGCAGCTGCACTCACATCACTCTTGACATTACGTCTATTAATCAGGTTGCGATCACTATACATCGTGCATTTGTCTGCAGCAGAGGATACACTGTACAGATTATTAAAAGCAACCTATAATTTAAAAATAAAATTGTATAATTATTAGATAGCTGTTTCTTTATCCTGCAGTAGTCCAAACTGATATATAATGCATCCTTCCTAACCAGAAACTTTGCATCCTAACTAGCATGAAATACAAACCTCTAAGAACTTATTACCAGCATGCCAATCAGCAACTTCAAAGTGCAATCCCTCAAGACGTTCCTCTTTTGTAAACCCATTGGACAGTGACATGTGACCATTTATTCCTCTCTCAACACTTAACTGGTCTCCAACAATTCCTTGTTCTCCAAACACTGGCTCTGCGTGACCATCCCCACATTCCAACTGATCTTCAGAAACATATTCATTCTGATCTTGTTTACTGTCACATGCAACAAACTTGTGAAATTTTTTTAATATCTGAATGATCCCATCTGCATCATTTTCATTTTCATATATCATTCCCATAAAGACCTAAAGGTAAAAAAACACAGACATGCAGATAGAAAAATTAAAAATTATACACATTATATTTAAACAAACGTCTGTTAAATTATGATTCAGGACACTTAAGTGACTCTCAATATAGTTTAAATATAATTATATTTATACTTACATTATCTGTTCTCCTTCTCATTTCTGTACTATATTTGTGGGGTATATGAACAGTGCATATCTCAGAAAGGAAATTTAGGCAAGGAATGTTGGTTGTAATGACCCTCTCCACCAAGTTGATATAATTTTGTCTTTGCTTTCCATTGTCAATGGTGCTTGGAATACATTTACTATTCTCCATCTCCTCAATTCCACCCAGTGGAGGTTTATCACTGAGATGGTTGCCAGACACACGATTCTCAGTGGTCATGTAGGTTACATAATGTTTGTCTATATTCTGATGATCTTCAGTCATATAGTGAACATCTTGATGATAATCAATGGTGTGGAATAAGCAACATTCCCACCTGTAGCGTGAATTCCAACTTCACTCATATACTGGCAGTTCTTTTATAGAAAAACAGGAATTATTATTAACCTTCTCAAGTATTTCTGTGTCATGATCTTTTCCAAATTCATCTAGCTTCTTATATAAATAAGTGTGGCTAGTGGTCAACTTCAGGTTTGACAGTCTTGCCAATGTTTTCTATATTAAGTAAATGAAACATAGTTTGTTATCATGATGCAACTAATGTATACAAATATACATAAGGGTTTTTAACACTTTTCAGATTATATGCTAGCACTCATATAAAGGAGTGCTCTATTTTCCTGTGTAAGTTAGAAACATTGCTACTAAGTGGGTTCATTTTGTCTATTGGGACGTTCAATGTAATGTGGGCACACCCCTATTAAAGGACCCTCAATAGGGGGTGCCTACATTAAATGGAGTGTGGCTTGTTATATTTATTAGACCAATAACCATACAATTTTAGATTAGTATATATACTTAAAAACACAACTTACCAAAAAACTGGAGGTTTTTGATTCATTCTGAGGTTTCTTCGCTCTGCTTAGAGGATTAACACTGGCCGCAACCAACAGCGAATGGAACAGAGGCGCCCTTTCAGCAAGTTCTCTGGAAAACTTCTCCATCGTAAATGACAGCATGCTGTCCTTGCTGGTTTGCCTTAAACAGCATGGTTCTTTCTTTGAACATAGTTGGCTGCATTCCCTATTTATTTCTTTGGCCATCAACTCTTCAAATTCCTTCCTTAATTTTTGGTTCTTCCACGCAGAAATTGCAATTTGCTTATATGTTCCTCTTATAAGCATTTTACCCAATGATTCAAAATCTTCAGGAAGTTTTCTTTCCACATTTTTTGAAGGCCAATTCACCCTCACAAATACGTTGGTACTAGTTGCTGTTGGTGTTACGTTGGTGTCCGGTTGTCCAACGACTTCTTTTACACCATGAATGCCTTTATTTTGTTTAAAAACAATTGGTGATAATGGCCAGGAAGGACGTGCTGCAGGTCGGATAGGGGACGAGGTAGTTTTCAAAGGGGAAAGTTCGATTAGATTCGATTTTGACACGTTTGTTGCTGTCTCATCGCAAGTCTTTTTGGTGGCTTGCGGCGTTATTTCGTCAGATGTATTCCCTCTCTTTAATGATGGTATTGGTACGCTCGCTAAA